ATGGACTTGGGATGTGTTTAAAACTTAACTGTATAATTGGGGTTCTAGCCACATTGCATAATCTGTTAGTTATTTGGCAACTTTAACCTCAAAATATTTAGCCTATAACATTTTTTGCATCAACAAATTTATAGGCAGTATAGATAATAGTTATTATTAAGAACACATTTGTACGATTAACTTCTTTATCGTTTGTTCTGAAATAATATTTTTAAAAATATATGCATGAGCGCGTGTGTGAATTCTGTAAAACATGATATCAAAAACAGGGTGACCACCCCCTATTCGAAAAATCAAAAACGGGGTAACCCCCCCCTGCTGATCCACCGACCCCCCCCCCCCCAGGCCGAAGTAACTGACCAATCCCTTAGGTTATTCTGAGCGTGTCAGCGGTGGGTAATATATTTGAGTATGTGCCATACATAAGCGGTAAACATACCACCTCTTACCACGGAATAATCATGACACATCATCGACAGTTTAGTTGGTGTTACTTACATTTACACTTCTCTGGATTTGTGTAAATAACATTAATGTTGGTAATGTTTTATAATTGGTCATCATCTGTATGAATCTACCTCTTTTATTCAGTTCTAAAACATCTTCTATGATTAGCTGATTTGTTCTGCTGATCTCCTGTCGCTAGAAGTGTGTGTTTTGATTGGTTCATTTCAATGATTGACAATTGTACACCAGGTGTTAGGGATTATTATCCAATGATTATGGTAGCCGATTTGTTCTGCTGATCTATTGCGCGAGAAAAGTGTGTTTTGATTGGTTCATTTCAATGATTGGCAATTGTACACCAGGTGTTAGGGATTATTACCCAATGATTATGGTAGCCGATTTGTTCTGCTGATCTACTGCGCTAGAAAAGTGTGTTTTGATTGGTTCATTTCAATAATTGACAATTGTACACCAGGTGTTAGGGATTATTACCAAATGATTATGGTAGCCGATTTGTTCTGCTGATCTACTGCGCTAGAAAAGTGTGTTTTGATTGGTTCATTTCAATGATTGACAATTGTACACCAGGTGTTAGGAATTATTACCCAATGATTATGGTAGCCGATTTGTTCTGCTGATCTACTGCGCTAGAAAAGTGTGTTTTGATTGGTTCATTTCAATAATTGACAATTGTACACCAGGTGTTAGGGATTATTACCCAATGATTATGGTAGCAGATTTGTTCTGCTGATCTACAGTCGACTGGAAACTGTGTTTTGATTGGTTCATTTCAATGATTGAAAATCATATACCAGGTGTTAGGGATTATGACTCAATGGTTATAAATACTCGAATCCACTGCGAATGAGGCAAATTTGTATCGCATTTTTCTTCTTTTTGTATATTATGTTACAAAGCATTTCATTTTCAGTTTCTCATTTTTTAAAACTTCACTTTGGTGTCGAATACATTCGTTTATATGGGGTTGACCATTAGAAAGGGGGAATCCAGCAGAAATCGATAACAGTAAAACAAAAATTTCGCACGCATAATTCTTAGAGGAAATATTTGTACACAATGTGAAAGTACAGCAAAGTTATCATGGAAACAAATAACACAAAACTAAGTGAAAGAAAAAATATTTTGCAAATTGTTCCACCATTGAGTTTCTAAGAGTTCGTAATGGTCCGTTCTCTATTATTACAGCATTGGTTCTTTCAAGAATACAGCGAAATATAAACACATCCAGAACTTAAGAATTTAGCTAGCGAGTACTGTATCATCTTATCACCGACCAACGCTCTTGTATCGTGTGTTATTTCATTTCATCTCTACTTTCACGTTACCTTTACAGGGAGGCCCTGGTGGTTCGTCGTGTGGATTTGGTAATTTCATGGAAATCGGTCCATTAGACGTGAACTTGAATCCAAGAAATACAACTTGGGTAAGAACATGCATGTCATAGCGCCACCTAGTGTGTGAAGCTCGACTAATTTGTAACTGTGTGGCAACACTCATAAATAACGTCAGGCCATATTTGTAGAATAACGTAATTATACTGAAATAAACGTTGTAGGTCATTTTAGGTTCGATGACATTGCTACCATGGCACATGTAACACATTTTTGTATATATATTTATAATTGCAGATGTCAAAGGTTAACATATTGTTTATAGATAATCCGGTTGGTACAGGATACAGTTATGTCGATAATATTGATGCTATGACAACGGATGTCCATGGAATTGCGTTGGATCTTGTGACTGTAATCAAGGCATTCATTAAAAAACATGACGAATTCAAGGTAACCATATTATAAAGTGAAAACAAATTTTTATTCAAAATTGTTATTTCAACCGATCAGTGATTTTGATCAGGATCATGGTTCGTGTTAAGTTTGAACGTGATCAATCCAGGTATATTAGAGATATGGTTCCGGAATAGCATTTGTTAATACAAAATGGCGGTTAGTCGGCCATTTGAATGCAATGTTTAATACAAAATGACGTGCATTAAGGTCTCGTGCACGGGAACTACAACGCGTTGTACGTTGAAACATTCAACTGCAACACATTGACATATGATACCATGTGCATTGTGTATTTCAAAATACCTCGACAATTATCACATAAACATAAGGACTAATAAAACAACGTGCTTGCATCTGAAATCAGTTGCAGATGTCCGTACACAAAAGTGCTCAATAACATAGACCAAACCAGTCAAATTAGACGTTCTAAGAAATAGTGTTATTGGTTTCAACACACAGTCGACAGAACCTGATGTTTGCTGTCTGTCGTCCGTGGTAACCTTTACATTTTTGAGTCACGTTGGTTTCGTATGTACAATGGGTGGGTTCTCTCTCATATATTTATCCTAGGGTAGTTCAGTCTCAGATTTGTTAATTTCAATTCATGACCATATTTTTCATATTTCATTTTCAGAGCTCTGACATATTTTGTGCATATTGTATTGAGAATGTAATACATAGTTTATAATTTCATTACAATCACGCATCACTGAGGAATGTACACAATTCGATTATTTCTAATATATACTTGTACACCGTATTGATAATGTAATGCGATAATGAGGTTACACTGAATCCGCCCCTGGAAAACCTATGAATACAGGAAAATTAGGTTGGTGGCGTGATATTTTCTCCGGATGAGGCGGAAATTGATGCAACAGATTATCTTGTGTGATATTATTGTGGAAGTATCGTTACCAGACTAATATATTTTCGGTTTCGATGCCGTTTCCAGCCAGCAAATTATGGAATTGACAAATATCGCACTGTCCTACTGTAAAATCCGGGTAGCTATGACTTAGACATACGAGTCGGTCAAAATGCCAAAGCTTTGGAGTCAATGAACGTAACACGTGTCATAAGAAGTCTATCATAAATTCGTAAACTGTGTACTTACTCAAGCGGGAAACACGTGACATTTATATTATATCACATGCTATGAAACTGAATGGTTTGATTGCTGTTTCGGAAGAGGGTCGGCATAGATTTGAAATTGAGACACTATATAAATAAATATATTACTTCTTTCATAGTTGTAATGGCCATGATGTCAGAACATGTTTTGTATAATTTACCATATTTCATATTTTGATTAGAGATTACATCACTCCCGCCACCTCCTCCACCCAAGAGAGGGTAACACTGATTTACATTAAAACTCAAGATCCTCTATATTATAAGGTTATTGCGAGAATGCCTTAAAGTAGACACAATGACAGTACAGCTGGAGTATCGACCGACGCGCGGCGTACTGTCATCGTGCATACTTTGAGGTATTCTCGTAATAACCTTATTATTTTACATTTTTTCCTTTCAAGGAATACACCAAGGGAATGCCGAAATTGAAAATGTTTAGAACAGAATCAGCACACTTCGTTGTGTGGAGTCCGGTCAAACTCTGGTGGCAGCCATGTTTGTTTTTATTATTGGAGGACGCTTATGCGCGTAATCATTCCATATTTGGAATTCGCATTTCCTAATATGGTAGAATAAAAATACCCCGTAAATTACCTTAAAATTACGGCACGTTGTAACTTATGGCGTTACGGCGACACGTGTATAATAATACGTGGTATTACGTGTGGAAATAATAGTAACTAACGTTGATATGTTTCTTTCAGACTGTTCCTTTATATATATTCTCAGAGTCGTATGGAGGTAAAATGACTGTTGCCTTTAGTCTGGAGCTACACACGGTAATCTTATACACGTATCTTGTCTGTTGCAATTCATTTCAAATTATATATAGCAACCCTCCATTGAAAAACACACAACAACAACAGGGATTCTTTCTCAATTTTCCCGAGGCTAAGTTTAACGATAGAACACTTAAATATATATATATATATTAGGAGTTTTCCGTTCAAAATGTTTTAATAAATATATTTGGAATTATTCAAAAAGTCAGATTGTTTGGATAATTGTATGGACGATTTGTAAGGAAATGCGCGCTCTAGTATTGGTTGGGTTTCTGGGTCAGTAGGTGTGTTTTAGTGGCGTAGAAGAGCGTGGTTTGCTCATATTATTTGCCGCACCGACTTTTCGATAATCCAGAAAATCATCGGCCGGGAAAAAAACATGTAATTAACTATAACCTCCTCTTCCATTTTCATAGGCAATTCAAAACAAAGAAGTAACATGCGACTTCAGAGGATTAGCTCTTGGAGATTCGTGGATATCGCCTATAGGTTCGTATAGACTATTAATGGTATGTGATATAAACTATTATTTTATTCAGTCGTGTTCGTCACTACACAGCCACTGGTTTCCATAGTATTCATGAAAAAGTCGTACGTTAGAGTAGTTACAATGCGATAATTGTTTTCATATTTCCTGCATTAATTGCATATGGTAATACAAGATTTTATATATTTTTGCAGATTCCGTCATGACATGGGGACCATACCTTTATGCAACGGTATGTATCGGCCTAATGTAGATTTCTAGATACTGCCGTGTGCGTATCTTTATAATCATATGTGCATATCTTTATAATCATATGTGCATATCTTTATAACGTTATATCTCATTGCAATGGAGTATGTAATATGTTCTTCCCCATTCCTCAATATATGGATGTCTATTTATGATACTAATTATATTACCAGTCTTTAGTAGATATCAAAGGTATGTCAGCTGTGAATGGAGTTGCCAATAAATGCCAACATGCCATTGAAAAGGGTGACTGGAAGAACGCCACTGAGTTATGGAGTGATGCTGAATCTACAATTGAAGAGGTGAGGATAACCAAACGATCGTGTTACTTGAAGTTACTTCACAGAAAATACATTAAAAACGCACAATTATTTACTTAAAGATGCAATATGGAAGAAAATATATATTTATGATTTATCCAATCTGATTAAAGTCCAATATATAATAATTAAAACAAATGTAGCCTATACCAACATCGAATTTTAAACAGATTATGAACTAAAAATGTTGCATCTCCAGGACACACAACAGCATTCCTCAATTTAAAATTCATAACCGCTAATACGCATGCGCATGCGATTGTTATTTTACGTACCTACACAACATGGGCTAGTCTGGTCCCTTGCCCCAGTTTCTTAACCGCCCTCAGGGTTGAAATTGGGGCAGGGGACCAGACTAAACATGGGCATATGCGTATAAGAGAATTGTATTGTTACATGGAACGAATAGTAGCCTTGTATATGTAATATTTAAACTATTGTCCAAATAATAACACAAACTATGCAATACGTAACCTGTGTGTTAATATTGTTGTTTGTTACTGTAAAACAGCATTGTTGGTGAATAATTTGGTTTTATTGTAAACCAAATATGTAGTTTTTGCAGCAAACAAAATAGCATTCGTCGACACAATATTCTCGGCGTTCGTCATTGTGCATACCAAAACAACTGCCGTGTAAAGCAAACACTTTTTATAGTTGAATACGTAGTTTAAACAACCCATTCGCAACGGACATTGACAGCGATTAAAGAAGATGAATCATGATTCTAAATGGCATTCAACAACGTATCAAGCTTTCAAGATTTAAAGAGTCTGCAATATGTTTATAATATTACATATTGAATGAACGCAATTTGATAAACCACCACCACCTTTCTGTCAGTGGGCGTAAAATCTCCAGTCCAACAACAAGTGTTTGTCATTACAAGGCAGTTGTAAACTATCATCCAGGGTAATCTCGTCATATAGTTGAAGTATCTCTAATGCAGCATGTCTGTTCAACGCAACTTTCGAACCCCCTGTGTTGGCCTGTTCTACATTGTTTTTCAATTCAAATAAAATGAAATTTATGGAAAAAAATATGAAGTATACCTAGGTAAAAAATAAATGTTATAACTATTATTTAAAAATGTAAGATGAAACTGTTAAACGAAAAGCCTGGCGACTAATATAATAGTACAATGTGAAAGCAAACAATTATCCAAATTAGGTAATTAATGTGTATGGTTTTCAACTTTATATTAATCACGTCTGCGGATTACCCCACGATCACACATGTATCAAGTTTCGTTGTTTTTAAAATATCTGTGAAACTGCTAAAATATGTTAATTAATTCAAATTAGATATGTACACACGGCAACCAAAAACTAATCAGAGAACAATGACTAATTTAGTTGCAAACTATAATTAATATGAACAGTTAAAGCTAAAAGGGTATGTGCATTATTCCAGAGCATCTATGTATTAATTAACTTTGAATCTTGGAATATCTTTTAAAAAGCTGAACAATGACAAAATGTAATGTTAATTATGTAATTATTATACACAGATTTTGACCCAAAGCAATTCGGTCCTAGAGTATCTACGTACGAAGTCTCATATTATATGACTTATGAGAGTTTAAAGACATGTTGGAACCGTGACGTCTGTAATACTTTAGAAAATTTCAATACACTTATTTCCTGTCGGCTAACTACGATCTGTTGCAAAAGTCGAATGATTTGAATTTAAACTTGAATTTATTTGTATTTATTTATTTTAATATAGCTCAATGTTTCTCCTTTACGTTTGATTTTACGCAAAATGCACGATCTCGCAGTGGACGGGAAGCTACACATAGTTGGAATTTACCAAACTGTTCACCCACGTGCTAGTACAAATAAAATAACTGATGCGTTTTGTTTGCAGTTAACGGATAACGTGAATTTTTACAATATATTACAACATAACGCAGATGAGCAGAACGTGGTTGAAAAGAAGTTTCTGGAAGACAAATATCTGGGTAATGATATATAATAAAGCATGTAAAATAACATACGTTAAATAACTCACGTGTACAGTGCATTGTGGTACGGATAGTGTGCACATTTCACAATAAATGTTATAGTAATCATGTGTACGGTCCCCACTCTTCAAACGTAAGCAATATATGCACAAGAAAAACTGAACGTATCATATTACTCAACACGATACTGAATGAGAAAATCCATGAACACATATTACATATTTCCAATCTATTTTATAGATTATCTTTATCGCCGCCATGTTGGTTATATGGACAACGACGCGTTGTCAAACTTGATGAATGGAAAGATTAAAGACCAATTAGGAATTCCTAAGAATGTGACATGGGGAGGTAAATCAAACGACTTAAGGCTGAGGGGTCATGTATAAATGATAACTTGTTCACCTCCATATTATTACACCAGTAATGAATGCTATCGTTTGTTACTTTAGTTACTCACACTTCTTAACGGTGCTTAAAATCAATAATTAACTCCCAACTAACGTATAATTATTCACTCTAGGTCAGTCTGGAGAAGTGTTCTCAACCCAGGCAGAAGACTTCATGAAACCTGTCGTAGACACGGGTAAGTCGAGCTATATCATATTGGACACATGATTGCATATTTACGATCGCGTTGTTGAGTTATTGTAAGTTATTGTAAGTCCTCTATATCGGTAGTACCCTAATCAATTTTGGCTTTAAAACAGACCTTCAGTACTGCCATAACGTTTAACCCATTGCTCCACTTAAGAGAGCCTGATGGGATTAGTTTGTGAACTAAGCCATCAAACCATCCCCAACGGACAGCCATGGCAAATGCCACAAACTTCCAGTATCCATACTGAAATAGTATAAATTTGAATGCATAGTATAATGAATTTGAGTGTTTATAACATCCAGTAATTACAAATACTGAATATTCAGAGTTTATTACTTGTATCAAATTCACACTATAATCTAGATACTAACTCTCATATTAGATGGATATCCAAGAACGTACATCAACAGAAAATTGTTCAAAACTATATCAAAGGTGCAATTCAAGTACAACTCTAATGAGGAGAATTAAAGAGAACTATAAACCAGTGGGCATACGACCTCATAACCGAATCTTCATTGCTAGAGGGCATTTTGGTTATAGCATCAACTACTCACACAATATTTATCCAGTCACAACAACCAGTAATATCACATACTTACAATGTGTCTCTCTTTGTATGCAGTTGATCAACTCTTATCATCAACCAATTTATCTGTGGTTGTATACAATGGTCAGTTGGATCTTATAGTAGACACTCCAGGTGAAGTAAATCTTCAAACTGTCAGAACCATGATTTATGTACAGATTCTCTATTATTACATCATATTATCAATGAGGTGGTAGCAGTTCTGGTGTAGCCTTTTGGAGCAAGACTGTTATCAGTCATAATGGTTGAATGGGACATCGCACAATGCGTGCGGGTGACTGCACCCTGAACACTTAATCGTCACTGTTTTGATAAACAAGTTGTGTACATAATTCAGGGATGTTATATCATTGATATAGAAGATTATCCATACCATACATACATACATTTATCTTCTGTGGTTCAACAACTTTCTTCCAAGTTAGTAATATGGCGTACGAATAATAATGATGCAAACAGTGGAAAATAATTGTTTGTTCCAACAAGCTACACCGTATACAATCATTTGGTATCACAAAGGTTATTGGAGCTTACGAGTATTTCAAAGATGCAGTTAGTGACCAACTATTATCCCAAAACTACTGAATTTTATTTCAGTGAAACGTCTTTATACCACATTCATCTCACACTGCTAAGAAACCTAACCATTCTTCGGTATACAAGACTTGGATACAATAAGTTTTGCCTACATCATTTTATGTACATCTTATGTGAAAGACTAACTATTCCGACAGGTACTGAAATGTGGATGTCCGATTTGACATGGGATGGAATCAAGGAGTTTGACAAGGCTAAGAGAACTCCTCTGTATGTAGATGGGCGAATTGGAGACACTGCAGCTTTCGTGAAAACCTACAAAACGCTATCGTTTTACTGGATACTGAATGCTGGTCATATGGTAAGGGGAACTCACAAGGGCAATATCCAATAGTTCTAAGACCATGCATATTAGACACCAGAAAGATAGTCACATTTGAAATGATGTTGGATCATAACATTATGCAGATCAATGGATTCTGATGTAATATTCAAAGTTGAATATTAAATGAGACAAATCCGAAAGGTACAAAACGCAAATTTCAAGATTAAGACATTACAGTTGGATGGTCATCGGGAGACTACATTCTTGCAACATACCAAGCATGTTACGCCTTTGCAGACTAAGATTCCTGAACTACATGTATGTCAACAATTTAAGCAAGAGCAATGTTTTTTAATGCATTTCAAATTATCCTAAATGTTCCACTATTTCAGGTACCAATTGATGCTGGGGACATGGCGCTCAAAATGATGGCAATGATAACAGGAACAGAGTAATGCAACACACAGGATGGGCTGAATGCACTCCAAGATATAAAGGCCGGAGCAATTTTCTGTATTAATAAATTGGGAACAATAATGTCATAACACTTGCGAAATTTATATCAAGTAAACCAGCATGCTGGATTCCAATAATAATGTCCAGGTTTCCACACTTCTCGAAATTGTGGAGTGTCTCTAAATATTTAAACATGCAAGCCATGAATGGAAACGCGAGTGTTTCATGCTTCAAATAAAAATCGCCATTCAAATCTTGTAATTCTCAATATCAGACACACACAAAGAGCAGCGAACTTGAAGCAAACAAGGTATATCAGGAGTTGGGTTGTCATACGTACGTATTGAGCATCTAATGACCCAGTTCTATTAGGTCACTGAACTTGATAATACCTTTACAGCGGTCACAATATTTATACAAGCTCAACACCCAATACCGAGCAATTTGGCAACATATACTTTAGTGACAGTTATATGTACAATACAGATACATACCCGCCCTATATGACAGTTAATCAAAACAACGAAGCCGGGTTTCAGATGGGTTCAACTAATCTTTGAGCAAACAGTTATCAATGTTTTATTCATTGTCATCGGGCACTTTATTATTTTATGTATACTTATGCTCGCTAATTTAAATCTATTTTGAACATTTTACGAAAATAATAAACCTTGATACCGGTAACATATAATGGAGGAAAGTTTAGGTATGAATGCAGTTTTTGGTTTTAAAATCATTGCCTAAATCTATAAAATTATTGGCAAAATGGGGGAACGAGGACACTGAATGAGTTAACCTTCTCGGGAGAAATAGTTTGCAATCGATTACTAAGAAAGTTGGGCTGGCCAGGGCATCGGTTCACGAGATTGTGCAACAATTCCGTCGCATACATTTTAACAAGAGTAATGACCTCATAAACTACCCTTTTTCACTGTAATGTTGCAATGCATTCAGAATAGTGTTGCAAAACACGATATTTGAAACTGATACATGATGACAATAGAGGTGAAACTAAAAGTGAAATATTCCAGGAAAAGATTGTCTGGACGATGCGTGTTCTGGAAAAACCGTCAATGGCAACATTCAATTATACAGGAAACTGAGAATACAAGCTCAACCATTATGTTCGCACTACAACAATGTTTTTTGTACCTTGAAAGGGAATGGAACAGTCCAACTATGCAATCACGCATCAAAGGCATACGGACTTTTGATAGTCTGTTGATAAAGTTCTCAGGAAAGTATTGGGGGGGGGGGGGTTTGCAAAGCCCTTCCATAACTTCCTGCCAGGTTGGGTGTATGCAAGCATTTGCCTGCAGCTATAATATTTAGAGACGTGGATAAAAACAGTAATATTTGTATAAACTTTATTCACCTCAAGTTCCCAGAAGTACACAATGCTCAATTTACATATATAAATGAAATACTCGGTATTCAAGAGACACAAGTACATATTTCTATGGGCAATATTTCTCAGAAAAATAAATTAACGAGTTTTTCTTAAACTATGGTGTCATCACAGCTAACATGTTCAAGATGCATGGTTTTCAAGAAATCACCTTTTAACCCTTGAAGCTTTAATTTGATAAATATTACGTAGGTTTTAGGTGAGAAAGGCGACAGGCATTGAAACAGTTAAGCTACAAAATACATCTCATTTGATCACTCCCCATCCGACTGTTCTGCATTAAAGATCCCTGAATATATACATCTCCAAATCTGAACAAAATATGATACAAAGTTGTCAGGATGTACTTCACTGCTATCTTACAAGAGCTTGATATTCATGAGCAACAATTGGTAGTTTTATTTCTGAAGAAATAATTTAATCTTATAAAACAAAAGTTCATCCATCAATAATAACTGTTGATCAATTTCGAATTGGTTGCTGATCATGAAAAGGGTAGGAGTACATATCCTTGCCTGCGATTCATATTACTTTCACTCAAATGTTTGTCACTGCTGGTGGACTTGTCCTTGACCATGAATACTTTGCTTTATATGCACGTTTGTGATATTAGAGCATGACCATCTTATCATCAAGACACTACATGCCATTTTTGGAACAATTTATTTTGAAATGGCCGTGGCTCAGTTAGGCATGTCTGCATAGTGGTGATGCACCTTGGCATGTATGAATTTAGTTTTGCGCAACTACATGTTCATAACATGCGTTTATTTTACAGTTATTACTAGGTGATTGCAAAGTTTTAATTTAAAAGTTCACTTGTGTCTGTACATAGAAATTACACTCAAATTTTCTGTGATCTGTAGAAACCTCGCACTGACCCATGTGGCGCAAGGGCTTTGAATTATTCACAGTTCACGAGCAATCTTATCCAAGGGAATCATAAAATCAAATTTAGAAGCCCTTTCATAATAGGGCGACCTTGAGTGATAACAATGGCAACTACGTTTGGTTTGGTGATGAGACGCCAAGTCCAGTGTTTTAGTATTTTCCGATTTGTGCCCAAACCAACCGATTTCATCATTTTGTTCATAATCAATTGGGGGTGGTTCTACATACAATACAAATGCAACTTTATAACTAACTCATCTACCTAAATCAGATGCGTTAAACAGGTTAGGAGACTGGACAGCACGTTCTGTTCAAAGTGGTTAAAGAATACTGCTTATTCCAGTTGAGCATATATGTAAGGCAGACAAAAATGGGCAACAAACAAGCTGCTCCGATTGGTTGACTGTAAAGGCTCTGTAGCCAATCAGGCACAATCTTGCAAGTAGCTTTGTATACACTTGTTTATTTTGCTGCAAATAGGGTTCATACATGTACTAGTTTCTGTTACACCATATGGCATGTACAGCAAAATGCCAATATGAATGTTGGCATTTTGTTTTTAGATCATATATAAATTTATATCAGATTTTCATATATACAGTACCATCACAGTACAAGCCTCTCATATTTTATTACACCACAAACTGATGGTAATCCCAAACTTGCAAGATGAACAATTTCCAGTTTATCTACTAAATCATAACGTTAATACAAGTATGAACACCTCGCACAACCTTGTGATCTAATCACAACTGAAATATGGCTTATTTGTGACCTAAACATAACTGAATTAGAGGGATTTAAGCATGGGCAGGATTTTAAACGAAGACAACTGCAGGAATATACTTACAGATTTCAGAACATTCCCAGAGTAATATGGAACTTTTATCCAGTACAAAGTTTCCATGGGCCTAAAATATCTAGATTAAAATACACAATCCAATTCATGCACAGGGTTGTACTAAATTAATGTAATTCTAACTTTTAAAAGGTTGTATGGAAGACTAATCAAAATGACTCAATATATTGTAAACTGCTTTAATTTTTGCCACAAATTTTGTAATGAATTTTGTCAGTCTGCAAAATTTTATGGCAGTGAACATTTTAGTTGGCTCTTAAGAGCGTAACTGCCGTACAAAATGTCTATTAAGTCTTTCTTAAAATCATCAAAATGTGAAAAGTACGTGGGCAAAATTTAAATGGTACATTGTACTTTACTGGAGATGTAGATGTAAATGGCTGCAGAGATCTTTTTGAGTGTGCCATTTCATTTTCTTATTACTGCGTCCCATAATTCCAAAGTTGTACAGATCAGTGGACGCAATGAGAGAATGGAACATAATTTTACAAGCAAAAACAAGTGTTGTAGCTCTTTTAATCTCAATAAGATCTCAGTCATCCTTTACGTTAAAGGTCAATTAGACCAACATGTTTTGCAGCAGATAATGGAATATTTACTTCACACCCATATGTCCTTGCAAGTTATTTGGTGATAACAGGAATCCAATTTGCTCCATTAGAAGCATAAAGCACATCACCAAGCATTTATTGTATAATACGGTATTGTGTACACATCTCCAACATTTCAAGTAGTTTATGGAGGTTTCAAAAGTATCGCCTACTAGCATGTAAATACAAATATGATAATGTTAAGATTCACTAATAAAAGAAGCTGTCCCATCTTTAGTATGTTATACTGTAAAAATAAAAAGTTAATAGGACTTTAATCGAATGAAGATGTAAAATACATGATTGAATATTCGGTGATGTGAATATTTTTTTTCTTATTGAGCACCTACCACATTGTTCTCCTGTAA